CTGGATATTTGAATGCCTTTCTAGATTTTTTGGTAAGTTTTCTAGGATTTCATGGAATAAATTATCTAGGCCCTTATTATTTTCTTTCTCTTCTGGGATACCAATTATCCGGATGTTGGGGCACTTGATGATATCCAGCATTTGTCGTATATTATCCTCATTTTTCATGGTTGTTTTCTCAATGTTCTTGATGCTTTTTTCTAGGTCAGACGTTTTGTCTTCTACGTTAGAGATTCGATCTTCTGCCTGATCTTACCTACTTTTAATACTTTCAAGGGAGGTTTTTATTTCCTGTATCACATTCTTCAACCCTAGAAGTTCCATCTGGTTCTTGTGTAAGGTATCCATTTCTTCTTTCAAGTCATGAAAGGACTTCCTCATCTCCTGGAGCTCCTTGTCTCTTTTCTCTTCCATCTCAGTTAGTTTGGTCACTACAAATATTCTGAATTCCTAATCAGACATGTCCACGACATCCATTGTATTGACTATGGATGATGTAGGCTTGATGATTTCCCTTGAGGGAGAGGCCTTTTGTTGGTTGCTCATACTTTTTGAGCCTCTGCGATTGTTCCTAGTCATCACGTAATCTATATGTTGCTTCCTAACTTATTTAAAGTGTCTCTGAGTGTTAAAAGTTGTACAGGATTAGAAAATTGATGATTTATCTTATGGTTGGCTTACGTATAGCTCACCCTTACCATTAACTGTTGCCACTAGTCCTGGATAACCCAAAGTCCTCCCTGTTTCTAAGGAGTGGTGAGCCTCCAACTGACCTAATAATCAACACCTCAAGAGCAAAGAAAAAACACAAAGAGAAATTGTGCACCATGCACTATTCAAATCACTAAAATTCAGAGTCCAAAGGCAAGTGGGGAAGGGCCGGAGGATGAGTGACAGGTCCTGGGCTATAGGGCCTATAGCCTCAGGCTGTCTGGAGTCCTGAACTGCTAGCTGGCTCTATCCGGTTTGCCGGTGGGGTGGGGTGAGAGTTCGTCTTAAGGTCCCACGCAACTAACCTGAGGTCCAAAGAGGAGTAGGGTTGGGCCAAGTAGACTTTTGATATTATTTTAATACAGAATTGAGAATGTAAAAAAGAAATGAAAATGGAATTTGTTATCTTATAATTTTTCTCTTATAAAAGTGATCTTCTGTAGCATTCCTGTTATATATGTGGTATTCTAATGGATGCAGTTATAAGTGATAGAGTTAATGGATAGAGTTTTAAGTTTTAATTTTAAGTATAATTTTTATCTTTTCACTGCTAGGTAAAAAGCGCAGACTCACTCTTATTGAATGTGGGTGTGACATTAACATGATGATTGATCTGGCGAAAGTGGCAGACCTGGTAAGTCAGTCCAGTAGCGTAAATATTTCTGATAAGACTTTCAGTAATGAACTAGGTTATTTGTCCCATGTCAAAAGGAAGTAAGTTTCATGATTATCAAAGGAATGATGATTATCCTCAGGGATATAATAGATGATTGAATTAATTATATTAATTGAAAATTGTTATTGTTATTATAATAAAAATGGAATGGGCTCAATGAAATGTTTTCTGAAATTTAAAAGCAAACCACAGAGTAGAGAAACCTGTTGGTGTAGATACCTAGTGAAAGCTCATTAATGTAGATGTACATGCACATACAAACACTTTATAGTAAGTATAGTCATCCCTCAGTATCTGTCTTTGACTGATTCCAGCACCATTCCCATCAAATACCAAAATCCACAAATGTCTAATCTTTAGATTACTGATAAGTAATCTTAGTAGTAAATGTAAGTGAAAAAGAAAACATATAAACTGTTTTAGGAGAGAATGTTCTTTCCTTGTTTCATAACAGTGTGGCCTCGCATTTGTAGTTGATCAGTCCACAGATGTGGAACCCCTGGATACGGAAGGCCAACTGTACCATTTCTTGGATCCTTCCTCGGTACTGTACTAATAGTTTTCTGCAAAGATAGCTCATGTAGTTCCCAATACACTTTTGAAGTGAGTAATCACATAACTTATCCGAAGATGAGACCATTGTTCTTGATGGTGCCAGAACCTTCATTCCTAATGATTATGATAAAGTAAGTACATGGATTGCCCTGAAGGAATTGGTCAGAGTTTACCAATAGGAAATCTAGTCGATACTCAGGATATGTGAAATGTGGAGCTTTGATTACATTTACAGAAATGGCACTTGGTTGTTTCTGACATTCTACTAACTGTCTTAAACTAGTAAAAAGAAAGCTGAAACAAAGCAAGCCATATTGATTAGGAAGTATGGGGTGACAAATACCCTTTTATTGATTCAAATCTTTCTGGAGACTTGTTTGGTGATAAAGGATTCCAGACTTTTTTTTCCTTCAACCCAGAAAGACTCCTTAAAAAAATTAAAAATTAGGACTTGCAGGTGGAGTAATGGTTAAAGGTGCTGGGTTCACACAAGGCTGACCACAGTTCGAGTCCCAGACCTAGAGGTTCGCTTTCCCTTTCTCTCTCTGTCTCTTTCTGGTCAAATTAAAAAATAATAACAAATGGAATTAAATAAATAAATAAATCTTTTAAAAAATTAATCTAGATTTTAAAGCTGTGCCATTTTAGCGTTTAGAAACTAAATACCATTCAAATTTTCAACATGGAATGCTGTTATTAAAAATAAGTGTTAGGGACCAGCAGTTAGTAGAATGGCTATGTAGTCCCATGTAGTCTTCCATATAGTCTACTCCCATGTAGTCGACCACGGTTCGAGTCCCAGACCTGATGGCTTAAAACTCACGCCGGGCGCGTGTGCGTGCGTGCCCAAGATCCTGAGAGGAGAATGGAGAAGAAGGGATTGCGGCGTGGCCATCCCCCTTGTGGGGTGATTTCTCGCTTTCTGTCTCTGTCTCTGTCTGTCTGGTGAGCGCATGTGCCCTATAGCATAAACCTCTCCAAAAAGAATAAATAAATGTTATTGGGACTAGCATTTAGCGTAATGACTATGTTGCTGAACTCCCAAGTAGTCGACCGCGGTTCAAGTCTCAAACCCAGTGACTGAAACTCAACACCGGGTACGTGTGCATGCCTGCCCAAGATCCTGGGAGAAGGGATTATGGCGTGCCCATCCCCCCTAGGGGGTGCTTTCTTGCTTTCTGTCTCTTTGTCTGTCTCTGTCTTTCTGGGGAGTGCACGCACCCTGCAGAAAAAACTCTCCTCCCCAAAAAAGTGTTATTGCCAACACAAAGCAGTATAAAATTACTAAATCTTGTGTATTTGAAATGATTTAAATAGTTCTATATATAAATCATTCGTCTCTCTTTTATATAAAATACAGTAAGTTCCAGATTTTTTCTTTTCTAATAGTTTTTTTTAATTATTAGAGGATATGTATGTTGCCAGAGAGCATGCAAGACAGACAAAATACTCCCAAATAGGCATGGTCACACCACAAAACCTTTTACTCCATTTCCCCATCCAGTCAGGATTCTTGGTATGCATGCACTCATGCCCAGCTCATTTGTCAAACTACCAGAGCTAGGATTTGAACTATTGTTGACCATGTGGAATCTGGCTCTATCTGCACCATCCTTAACTCCTGCAGTATGGGACCAGCCCACGTTCTTAATTTTAACAGTATAAATTGTAAGAAAAATTCCTTTTATATGAACCTTTTCCAAACTCTAAAGAGAAATACACATTTGGTAAAATACTCTAACTGTACTGCTGGGTACACACAGTGTTTGTTTTGTTTTTAATTTGCTGTAGGGCATGTGCACTTGTCAGAGAGAGGTAGAAAGAGGGAAAGTAAGAAAGTACACCCCAGGATGTGTTGGCCACAGCGCAATCCCTTCTCTACTCTCTTCTTGGGATTTTGAGTGCACATACATACATACTCAGGGTGTTTTTCAGGCTCAGGTGCAGGACTCAAAATGTGCAGTTGGCCATGTAGAATCCAGCTGCCTTAACCAATGCACTGCTGGCTGGCCCTGCATGTTTCCCCACCCCAGCTCTGACCTTTGGTGGTTCAGTTACCCTCAGAGCAGTCTCCTTCCAGGTACATAAAAACACAGATAAAGCCCTTTGAAAACACAAATGGTAGTATATTACATGTTCTTTTCAATGCTCTGCCTTTTCCATATAATATTATCTTGGATATATAATCCAAGTGGATATATAAAACAAGTGCTATAGCTCAACCTTATTATTTTTAATACAGTATGCTACTGTATGGATTGCTCTGCTCTGGTTGTCATAATATTTCTTAAGTCATGACAAAGGTATACATAATTAGTTAACAAAGATTAGCAGCTAAGGTATCATTTGCTACCTATGCTAACTAATCCTACTCCTAGTTGCTTACCCCTTGCCACTTTGGTATCAGATAGGGTGTCGGGATATTCCACAATCAGCCTTCCCACCTTTGACGTGTCATATTGCCATTGAACCCTGTTGCTGGCTAGCTTGTAGTCTGCAGCAGCAGCAGCAAGTGTGCTCCCTCAAAACTCTCCTAGCCCACCTTCATAAAATTTGTGTTTTAGGATTATTGATGTTTCTTAGTTTAATCTATTTTGTTTTCTTATTTTTAGTTAGGTATGTATAAAGATGAGCACAGAGTTGTCTTTAATACCTAAAATTAGAAGTCTGTGGGAATCAACTCTTCCATTATTTTGCGTGTTTGAAGAGTCTTAAGGTTTTTTTTGGTTTTTAAATTTACTTACATTTAATCACATGTCTTTACAGTATACATTTATTTTCCCAGCACGAATACCATGTATGTCAGTCAAGACAAAGATATTACTATGTACATTATCATCAGCAAATACCTTCTCATTTTTTTTAGTCAATTACAGATGCTTTTATTTTTTTTCTTCCCCTTTTCCCTCCTTCCCTTCCATGCTATACTTTTCCCCCCCACATTTTATTGATTCACAAAAGATCTTAAGCTAAAGATATGGACAAACTAAAAATCTAGTGACAAGTGCACAGTAATTTTCTTCTGAAACACTTTTTCCCTCCATTACCCCTTTTCGTAAAGAGAGGTATAAACTGGTATAAACTAACTTATTTGGGGGGGGAAAAAAACGGTTAATTTCAGCTTGGTCTGTTATGTGCAAAGCCTCATAAGAATTCTATTTCTGATGCAAGGGAACAGATACTATTATGTTATTGAACTTTTGCAAATAACCATTCTACCACAAAATAAGAATGCTCACAAATATTTTCCCATTGCAAAGGGGTCAGGAAGGGAGAAAACTTTGTTTCAGTTCAATATATATATATATATATGTATATGTATATATATGTGTGTGTATATAACAAATTGCTGAACCTATCAACAGTTCAAAATAAAACCAAACTTTTTAAATCTGGAAGACAAAGCATAGAAGAAAATTCGTAATGTTTTAGACAAAAGTCATAGAATTCTATTTCACCAGTTCAGTTTCATGTAATCTCTCTTTTGTTGAATTTGCAGTGTTACTGTGGTTCGATCTTTCCATTAAAATCCTGGAGGTTAACATTCAACATTATTATTGATATTTCTGAACATGTCTCTATGATTAAGTGACCATTTTCTTGGTTGTTTTTTGTTCTCTTATTTTTATCTGTCTGTCATTAGTTTTCCTGGTGTAGCACTCGCTTCAGAACTTTTCAAAGAGCTGGCCCGGTGTTGGTAAATTCTTTCAGGTTTTGTTTATCTGAGAGCGTTTCAGGCTTTTCTTCCCATGTCAAGGATAATCTTGTTGGATATAGTATTCTTGGTTGAAATTGTTTTTCACTTAACACTTTGAACGTATTTTCTCATTCTTTCCTTGCTTGCATTGTTTCCGACGAGAGGTCCAATGTTAGCCTGATGGGATAACCTTTTAAAGTAACTTGACGTTTCTTGCCAATTTTAGTATTTTGTCTCTGTCTGTGGTTTTGGTCAGTCTGGCTATAATGTATGTTAGAGAAGATCTTGGGTTAATTCTGTGTGGGGATCCTTTGTTTTTCTTGGGTCTAGGTATTTGAATGACTCTCTAGGTTTGGAAAGTTTTCTTACAGGATTTCATGAAATAGATTATCAATGCCCTTATTAGTGTCTTCACCTTCTGGGATACTGATTATATGGATGTTTGGGCATCTAATGGTATCTAGTATTACTTGTAAATTCTAATTTTTTGGTTATTTTCTCAGTCTTTTTGGTGAATTTTTCTAGGTTGGAGGTTCTGTCTCCTTCATCTGAGATTCGATCTTCTGCATGTTCTAATCTGCTTTTAATACTTTCAAGGAGATTTTTTATTTCCTATATTATAGCCTTCAACTCTTAACAGTTCCATTTGATTCTTTTTTATGGTGTGTATGTCCTCTTTCAGATCATGCAAGAACTTCTTCACTTC